CCATGAGTTTTCTCACTTTTACTCGCTGATTCTCCTCTCCATCCCACCTGGATGGAGTGAAGAAGCAGCTGCATGGAGCTTAGTTCCTTGCTGGAGTTAAACCACAACAATTCCATATATGTCCAAGATTACTTTAGGCAGGTCACAGTGTGCATTTCCTAAATTTCAGTATGCAAAGGATCCTCCTTTTGGTGTTAATTTGAAATGAACTTTGTTGTACTCATGATTTGCCAGCTATTAAAAATAGAATTACTTCATTGGGTTCTTTTTTTTTGCCATATATACAGCAGGATTTATGCTGTGCTCTTTTAAGGAAATATTTAAGTGACAAAAGATAAAAAAATTAATGGGCTTCCTAAAGTAGTAAAGAAGGGAAGTGACCTGTTTTCAAAGAGCTGTTTAGAGAGCATGTAATACATGGTCTGAAAAGAAAGAAAGAAAAAAAAAAACAGAGTAAAACTGTAGTATGGTAAGAACTCTAGGGGTGGAATCATATCTCTTCTTTACAGGTTCTCCTTCTCCCATAGTGTTACTCTTTTTTGACAGATTATGGCTTTTCTCTTGGAAGCTTTGCAAAACAGCCAGACAGATTGATTTTCTATTACTGCTGTAGGATATTCCTATTAATACATGACTAATATTTACTTGTTAGATATAATTAAATCACCCGAACTATGTTAAAGGAATATCCTTGGTCTGGGGGAAACCCACAGAAGTCAGGTCTAACATCTTTTGTCAGCCGTACAAACTTAGGCATATTTGCACTAGACCACATACTTTAATACTAGGCAAAGTTACTTCTTCTTCTGCATTACACCCTATAGGAAGAAGATCTCAAAAAGAGCAGTGAGATCTTCCTGGATGTTTCAGTGTAAATTATAAAACAATTAATTTATTCTTGTATACGTGTATTTTGTTTTTAAACCTTAATAAAATTAATTTAGGATTTAAAGAATAAGTTGTTTAAACTATGTACAACTGTTCTACTGAAAACCAGGCCATTTACTGCACAGGGCTACTCAAGGGCTACTGTAATTCTTGTAGAAATGCAAGGAGCATTATGTTAGGAACTCAGTGGAAGGGATATATAAAAATGTCTGAGAACAACTGCTACCTGCAGACTATTAATGTGGTAGAACATAATGGACTTTCCAAGAAGCTGTAGAAAAACATGTTTTGTTGCTTACTTAAAGGCCTTAATCTGCAAGTTGTCATCTAAACACACAGTTGCCTATCAGCTGGTACATGGGGAGCCTATATCTGCTGATTTTACTGTTCTTCTAGCTATGCAAGATCATTGGTTTATTTTCCTTTCCTTCTGTTTTCTTTCTATCTTCTGTGGAGGACTTTCTGAGGAAAGCCTATGTCAGGAAAAAATTCTGTTTATTTCCTTACAAAACAGTGCAGTACACAGAGTGCCATTACATAAACCTTTTAGCAATATCTTGCAAGGGCAGAATTACAGTGCATGACTTCTGGAATGCCTAGCAGTACTCTTTCAGAAGCATTTTCTGGCAGAAGTTCAGCATTGCTACACTCTTGGATTTTTGTACCTACTTTTTAATAGGTTTGAACAATGGCTGCAATATTTAGCTGCTGCAAAGTCACTCAGGGTTTTGTTATGCTTACTCTCCACTTGTCCAACCACAATTACACCAATCCACACAGCTACCTAGCAGCACACTCCCTACTGAACTTTTATCATCTTAGAGTTCTTAGATGAATCTACTCTGTTCTGGGTCATTCCTGAGCCTGTTGCACAAACTGTCAGTAACTTGTATGCCCAAATTAAATGCTATGGAGAAACAGTAGAAAGATACTGTTAATAATTCAGATGCGTATCCTTACAAGGCTTAATACATATGTTGGTTGCCTTATGAAGGTCTCCAAAGACAATGCTTTCTTTTGTGTTAGCAGATGTTAAGGTTACATCTTTGTGTGCAGGAACACACACTATCCCTGGCACCTTGATTCTTCTTTCCACAGTTACACCGTTTTCTTGGTGGATATTGTAGTGACCTGAGGTACTTGCAATGACTCTGGATTAACTGAGTAAAGTGAAAAAATAACCTTTGAAATAAAGACTAAATTTTACTTGAAGTTTTCAATAGCCTCCATCACTATAGAGTGCTTCACAATTGCTATTGCATTTACCCTGACAACAACACTTTACTGTTGTTGCATCCGATTATGGTTTAGGGAATATAGGCATCAGACTAACAAATTAATTTGCCCAAGATCATATCAGAATGTGAACTAGAATATGTTTTTCCCATCCTAAATGCACATCTTGCAGCCTGAGGGGTTATCTTCATCACTCAGAGGTATGCAGGGGATTCTTAGTGATGGGGTGGCAAACTGCTGAAACCAGATTAGAATCTGGCATCCATGCAGCCTTTGTGAAAAAAGTGGCCAAGTAACGTCAGGCTGAATATTTTGGTCATGCTGCATATCTTTGGAGTTTCTCGTGCCAACCCATATTACTTTATGAAAATGCATAGCTCTCTTTTGCAGACTTTTCAGATTTAGTTGTTTGAGAAACAGGCTGATGATTTCACATTTCTTAAAAGTTTGCATGAATTTTTTGGGAGTATGTGTAAAATAAAGAAATCTTACTAATTAGTTAGTCTACATCAATTTACACTATCAAGATACTCATTAACTCAGGGATGAGGAAGAGAAACATGAAACCTCTAATTTTTTTTTCCCCCGATCTTGTAATTTATAATGGCTACATGGATCATTTCTGAATGCATGTAATAAAACTCACTCTTAGGCTGAAACATTGTATTTCAGGTTCAAGCTGAATCCAATTTTTACAGTCAACCTGTTAACCTCTAAGCTGAAAAAAGGTAAGGTTTTAATGGAAATGCTGATGAGCCTTAATAAAGCAACTCTGCCAAATGACACAGTTTCATCTAGTATATGTACATATGCTATATTACTCCTATTATAAGCAGTGTGACACGTGATCACACAAGTGATATCACATCAAACAAAACAAATGTGTATTACATTAGTGCAGAGACTTAAAAATACGGTGAATGTGAGAAAACCTTTTATGGTAAAGTAAGAATACCGTTTTGTAAGCCCTTCTTGAAGTACAATTAATTACTAAGTTCATTAATTAATGAACATATTAGGGAAATAACACAAT